TGCTTATGTGAAAAAGCTTCAATCTGATAAGCTCGAACCCAAATCGGAGAAATGTGTCTTCATAGGATACCCAAAGGAGACTGTTGGGTATACCTTCTATCACAGATCCGAAGGCAAGACATTCGTTGCTAAGAATGGATCTTTCTAGAGAAGGAGTTTCTCTTGAAAGAAGTGAGTGGGAGGAAAGTAGAACTTGATGAGGTAACTGTACCTGCTCCCTTATTGGAAAGTGGTTCATCACAGAAACCGGTTCCTGTGACATCTACACCAATTAGTGAGGAAGTTAATGATAATGATCATGAAACTTTAGATCAAGTTGTTACTGAACCTCGTAGGTCAAACAGAGTAAGATCCGCACTAGAGTGGTACGGTAATCCTGTTCTGAAAGTTATGTTACTAGACCATGACGAACCTACAAACTATGAAGAAGCGATGGTGAGCCTAGATTCTGCAAAATGGCTTGAGGCCATGAAATCTGAGATGGGATCCATGTATGAGAACAAAGTGTGGACTTTGGTTGACTTGCCCGATGATCGGCAAGCCATTGAGAATAAATGGATCTTCAAGAAGAAGACTGACGCTGACGATAATGTTACTGTCTATAAAGCTCGACTTATTGCGAAAGGTTTTCGACAAGTTCAAGGGATTGACTACGATGAGACTTTCTCACCCGTAGCGATGCTTAAGTCTGTCCGAATCATGTTAGCAATTGCCGCATTTTATGATTATGAAATTTGGCAAATGGATGTCAAAACTGCATTCCTGAATGGATTTCTGGAAGAAGAGTTGTATATGATGCAACCAGAAGGTTTTGTCGATCCAAAGGGAGCTAACAAAGTGTGCAAGCTCCAGCGATCCATTTATGGACTGGTGCAAGCCTCTCGGAGTTGGAATAAACGCTTTGATAGTGTGATCAAAGCATTCGGTTTTATACAGACTTTTGGAGAAGCCTGTATTTACAAGAAAGTGAGTGGGAGCTCTGTAGCATTTCTAATATTATATGTGGATGACATATTGTTGATATAGAATTTCTGGATAGCATAAAGGGATACTTGAATAAGAGTTTTTCAATGAAGGACCTCGGTGAAGCTACTTATATATTGGGCATCAAGATCTACAGAGATAGATCAAGATGCTTAATTGGACTTTCACAAAGCACATACCTTGACAAAGTTTTGAAGAAGTTCAAAATAGATCAAGCAAAGAAAGGGTTCTTGCCTGTGTTACAAGGTGTGAAGTTGAATAAGACTCAATGCCCGACCACTGTAGAAGATAGAGAGAAAATGAAAGATGTTCCTTATGCTTCAGCCATAGGCTCTATCATGTATGCAATGATGTGTACCAGACCTGATGTGTGCCTTGCTATAAGTCTAGCAGGGAGGTACCAAAGTAATCCAGGAATGGATCACTGAACAGCTGTCAAGAACATCCTGAAATACCTGAAAAGGATGAAGGATATGTTTCTCGTTTATGGAGGTGACAAAGAGCTCATTGTAAATGGTTACGTTGATGCAAGCTTTGACACTGATCCGGACGATTCTAAATCGCAAACCGGATACGTGTTTACATTGAACGGTGGAGCTGTCAGTTGGTGCAGTTCTAAACAAAGCGTCGTGGCGGGATCTACGTGTGAAGCGGAATACATAACTGCTTCGGAAGCAGCAAATGAAGGAGTCTGGATGAAGGAGTTCATATCCGATCTAGGTGTCATACCTAGTGCATTGGGTCCAATGAAAATCTTTTGTGACAATACTGGAGCAATAGCCTTGGCGAAGGAATCCAGATTTCACAAGAGAACCAAGCACATCAAGAGACGCTTCAATTCCATCCGGGATCTAGTCCAGGTGGGAGACATAGAAATTTGCAAGATACATACGGATCTGAATGTTGTAGATCCGTTGACTAAGCCTCTTCTAGGAGCAAAACATGATCAGCACCAAGACTCCATGGGTGTTAGAATCATTACTGTGTAATCTAGATTATTGACTCTGGTGCAAGTGGGAGACTGAAGGAAATATGCCCTAGAGGCAATAACAAAGTTATTATTTATTTCCTTATATCATGATAAATGTTTATTATTCATGCTAGAATTGTATTAACCGGAAACATAATACTTGTGTGAATACATAGACAAACAGAGTGTCACTAGTATGCCTCTACTTGACTAGCTCGTTAATCAAAGATGGTTATGTTTCCTAGCCATAGACATGTGTTGTCATTTGATTAACGGGATCACATCATTAGAAGAATGATGTGATTGACTTGACCCATTCCGTTAGCTTAGCACTCGATCGTTTAGTATGTTGCTATTGCTTTCTTCATGACTTATACATGTTCCTCTGACTATGAGATTATGCAACTCCCGTTTACCGGAGGAACACTTTGTGTGCTACCAAATGTCACAACGTAACTGAGTGATTATAAAGGGCTCTACAGGTGTCTCCAAAGGTACTTGTTGGGTTGGCGTGTTTCGAGATTAGGATTTGTCACTCCAATTGTCGGAGAGGTATCTCTGAGCCCACTCGGTAATGCACATCACTTAAAGCCTTGCAAGCATTGCAACTAATGAGTTAGTTGCGGGATGATGTATTATGGAACGAGTAAAGAGACTTGCCGGTAACGAGATTGAACTAGGTATTGAGATACCGACGATTGAATCTCGGGCAAGTAACATACCGATGACAAAGGGAACAACGTATGTTGTTATGCGGTTTGACCGATAAAGATCTTCGTAGAATATGTGGGAGCCAATATGGGCATCCACATCCCGCTATTGGTTATTGACCGGAAACGTGTCTCGGTCATGTCTACATAGTTCTCGAACCCGTAGGGTCCGCACGCTTAACATTTCATTGACGATATAGTATTATATGAGTTATGTATGTCGGTGACCGAATATTGTTTGGAGTCCCGGATGAGATCATGGACACGACGAGGAACTCTGGAATGGTCCGGAGATAAAGTATGATATATGGGATAATAGTGTTTGATCTCCGAAAGGGTTCCGGAATTCACCGGAAGGGGTTCCGGATATTTCCCGAAATGTTTGGGTATGAGAACATGTTATTTGGGCCAAAGGGGAAAGCCCACGAGGCTTTTGGAAAGTGCAAAAGGAAGTTTTGCGGAGACCAGAGGCTAGACGCCAGGAACCCTGGCGTCTAGGGGGTAGACGTCGGGAACCCTGGCGTCTAGCCCTGGAGTCCGTGTAGGACTCTTGCCTTTCGGGCAAAACCGACTTTGAGGAGGCTTTTACTCCAAGTTTCGACCCCAGGGCTCAACATATAAATAGAGGGCAGGGCTAGCACCAAAGATACATCAAGAAACACCAAACCGTGTGCCGGCAACCCCGTCCCCTCTAGTTTATCCTCCGTCATAGTTTCCGTAGTGCTTAGGTGAAGCCCTGCGGAGATTGTTCTTCACCAACACCGTCACCACGCCGTCGTGCTGCCGGAACTCATCTACTACTTCGCCCGTCTTGCTGGATCGAGAAGGCGAGGACGTCATCGAGCTGAACGTGTGCAGAACTCAGAGGTGCCGTGCGTTCGGTATTTGGATCGGTTTGATCGTGAAGACGTACGACTACATCAATCGTGTTGATAAATGCTTCCGCTTAGCGATCTTCAAGGGTATGAAGATACACTCCCCCTCTCGTTGCTATGCATCACCATGATCTTGCGTGTGCGTAGGAAATTTTTAGAAATTACCACATTCCCCAACACCTATTACAAATAACAGATTATTCTTCGGCACCTTATATTAGTAATAGAAAATATCATTTATCTTATCTGTGGGAGACTTGCATGAGATCTCACTTTTCGGTGAGATCAACCAGACAAAGTCATATTTAGACATTTAAAAAATCTGAAATTATTTGACAACATTCATGTGGGGTATGTCTACAACCCCGAAAAAAATCAGCTCAAAACTCGTTATACATTTAGGGGTTCAAATAAGACAAATTCAAATATGGATAGTTGCAGCTTTGGGTGAATAGTACTTTGACACTATTCCCATCTGATTTTGTTTTTTTTTGTTTCTATTAACGTAAGTTGAATTAGGAGCTTAAACGTTTTGAGGTTGCACATCAAATGTTGATGTGTGTATACAAATTTTGTTGAGAATGAACATATTTATTTTTTCAAAAAGATCGATCTCATAGATCTCACATTACATGATGTGAGATCTCACACAAGTCTCCCACTATCTTATCATATCAGTCACAGATTTGAATCAGATTGTGCTGCCAAAAATCTGTTGGTGTATCCTATAAAATAGGTTCGGAACGGTTTCGGTCGGAGACGGAGACCAAGTGGTGGCAAAGCTTTTCTCACGGCGCGTCGTTGATGGATACAGGAGGTAGAAGATTTTGTCACATTGAAAGATTTGAAACTATTTTATTGGAAGATTAGGTACGCCTATTCGGTCGTAGGCGTACCTAAGATAATACATATCACCTGGCGATGACAAATAGCACTTCCATCTGTTTGCACTCGTACGTGCTGGCATGTTGTTTATATAGCTGGCCATAGTGAGAAGTAACTTATACTAGTTTCATACATATAATACTAGTCTAAATTACTACCTTCATAGTTTAAAGTAACATAATAATAGTATTATAGATGGCTTTATTTATTAGCTTGTAGACTCATTTTGTCTTAAACAACGCTATGTTACAGTAACAAATTATGTTACCACTTTTTATTAACTACTTGCCGCATAAGTAAAATAAGTTAGAGTGTCCTATGTTACTAGTTAAGTTACTCCCACCGTGACTAGCCTATCACCACGCATACCAGTAGTCTTAGTACTATTTTATCGCGGGGAGTACATCTAGAGCTGACTAATGATTGAACTGATTAACTGACCATTTAAAAAGCAATCCATCCGTCGGTCCAAAACCCGCGGCTTACAAGACAGAGCAGAGCATTGCACGGCATCGCTCGCGCGCCACTCGAGAGCATTGTGCTAGCTAGTGAGGGAAGACGCTAGTGGTGGTGGCAATGGCGGGGGCACCTTTGGTGTTGGTGATGCTCGTGGTGGCGGTTGGTGTCGCGGCGGCGGAGCGTGGCGGAAAGCTGCAGCAGGGGTTCTACGAGCAGAGCTGCCCGCGGGCAGAGCAGATCGTGAAGGACTACGTAGAGCAGCAAATACCCCGGGAGCCATCCGTCGCCGCCACCCTCATCCGCACCCACTTCCACGACTGCTTCGTCAGGGTACGTTACGTACGCTCTTTCGTCAGGTGCACCGTCCACGGCGACGGCGACGGCAATGCCGGCGCGTGTTTGTTCTGGGTCCTGATGGATCGGAATGGCGCTGGTGCAGGGGTGTGACGCGTCGGTGCTGCTGAACGCGACGACCGGCGGCGGGGAGGCGGAGAAGGACGCGGCCCCCAACCTGACGCTGCGCGGCTTCGACTTCCTGGACCGCGTCAAGGCCCTCGTCGAGCAGGAGTGTCCAGGCGTCGTCTCCTGAGCCGACATCCTCGCGCTCGCCTCCCGCGACGCCGTCGGAATCATCGTGAGTGCTCTGCTTTCCTGTCCTCACACACACATAGAATACACGTGCGCACTGTCCTCACACACACACACATAGAATACACGTGCGCACACGCGCGCCTCGGTGACTGATCGACGATGAGTGAGAAAAATGCAGGGCGGGCCGTTCTGGCGCGTGCCGACGGGGCGGCGCGACGGCAGGGTGTCGATCAAGCAGGAGGCGCTGGACCAGCTCCCGGCGCCCACCATGAACTTCACCGACCTCCTCGCCTCCTTCCGCGCCAAGGGCCTCGGCGTCGCAGACCTCGTCTGGCTCTCAGGTAAGACGTTTTGTGTGTTTCTTCGCTCATTTCAGCTCGTATATAGTTCACATTAAATTATTCATTCAAGACATCTTTTATTTCTGAGCGGAGGGAGCACTAAGTATCAGTAGCCGAGTTCATGGCATACCGATTACAGTTTAGCTACATGTCAGTCAGCGAATTTCAAATTTGGGATAATCAATTTTGAATAAAGAAAGAAGAAGGAAGGACCTCACCGGAGAGAAGGAAGGGGCTCGCCGTCAGCATCCCATTATCTATCTTAGAGTTTAGGGTGGGGCGGTGGTGGGCCTTCGCCGGAAAAAAAACTCGGCGGGGGTCCCAGAGGGATGGCCGGGGTCGGCGGAAGACCAACGGTGGGGGTGGTTGGCGGTGAGGAGATCACGGGAGCGCCGCCGACCGCGGACGGTGGATGCCGGCGGTTAGGGCTGGGTTGGATCGGCGGGTGAGAGAGAGAGGAAGAAGAGAAACAGTGTCTGTCTGAGGTTGAAGACGATCAACGTCTATTGAATCTTGATCGAACAGTTGATACAGGAGAAGGATAATCGACTGAAAGTTTTCTTCTTTAAGACTATTGACCTGTAGATGGTCCCTATCGATTATTGGCACCCGATACATGCACGGTGATGGTGATGTGAAGCTTACTAGTGACGCACAAGCACTCGAGCAAACATTGGTTGGACATATAGTTGAGTGAGTAGTGAGAAACTGAAAGTCATCTTCGCTTACCAGCTCATTTGAGCTCACGATGATTAGTAAAATTCAGAAATACTGAAAACAAATTCAAAAAGTTCTGAGGTTTTTTGGTAAACTTTGACGAATGTTTTGAGTGCCTTTAAAGTTTCATCATGAAATGAAATTCGTGGAAATTGTAGCAAAAAATAAATCGGCACTCTAAAAGGCTTTCGAAAAAACCACTTTTGGAGCATCATTTTTTTTTTTGCCATTACTTCCATGAATATCATTCGATAATGAAATTTTGTGAGCACTCAAAAGATTTATAACTGTTTGCCACAAAACAAATTCATGTTTTTTATTAATATTTAGGAGTTTACTATTCACCCGATCGAGCTCACTGGAGTTCGGGCTCAGAATCACCACGCACTATGTTCGGAACCGAAGTCCTTTGCTAGATTCATGATTTTTCGATCAAGACAGCTGGTAGCTAGCTAGCCGGTAGCTACCAGAGGGAGTGCGAGGTTATGGTGCACGGGCACCATGGTGCCCTTTTTTTGAAACAAGTAAAAACCATATTTAAAAGTTTAAACATAATCCATGAAAAAAATTCTGGAAAAAATGTTATTTGCAAGCTGTACTTCAAAAAATGCTGGCACAAGAAGAAAAAAATGCCAATTTAAAATTTCATATTGTCTTTTCTTTGTACGCCACATTTGCAAGTAAAATGTGGTGAAATCGGCACATACATATATACTCCCTCCTTCCATCTATATAGGGCCTAATGTGTTTTTCAAGACCGCCTTTTGACTGTTGACAAGATTAATAATACATGAAATGTATAATGTAAAAATTATATCATTGAAAGCTCCTTTCACATACGAATTTGATGCTTTGCTTTGTGTAAGTTGCATGTCATATTATTGCTCTAACTTTCGGTCAAAGTTAGCCTCGAAAAACGCATTAAGCCCTATATAGATGGAAGGAGGGAGTAGTACACACACACACATGTGTGTGTGTGTGTGTGTGTGTGTGTGTGTGTTTACAATTTTTTTTACGTTGTAGAATTACCTTTTTGGAAACGGGCACCATGGTACCCGTGCACCATTTGCAATATTCGCTACCAGAGGGTCCTACTCATTACTACCCAGTTCCCACAGATAACATAGTCACATGACAGGACAACCACTAATGGTGTTATTGAGGTGAAAATTGACAAATCTGGCCCTTTTCTTAAATTTTGGTATAAAATGAACCCAATTCATTATGATTTCAAAAAAGAGCCCACTCTTGCATGCATGATGCCCAAGGCTAGGGCATCATTGCTAGATAGCATGGCGCCTGAGCCCCATTTTGCGATTCGTTTTGGATTGGGTTCATTTTTTGCTAAAGTTTTTAAAAAAGGGCTAGTGTGTCCATTTTCACATTGTTGCTTGCTGAAACTGATGTGTCCAAGATAAAAAGAAAACACAAGTGAACCACACGCCTGGCCGACTATGTGCAGCTCTACAAAAGCACCAACAGTACTACCTGCATTCTATAGTTAGAACGTAGTGCCTGTATATATATTTTTAGATCAAACATTGCAAATTTTATTTAATTTGGTGAGCATATTATCTACATCTAGAATACCAGATACATACTTCTAGATACACCATGACCTCGTATTTCCATATTTTATATGTGTGGAATTATATATATTTGTAATTTCATGTTTAAACTTGACCAAACTTTGTAAAAATTGGCTTTTGGAAAAATCTATAAGCACTAGATTGTAGAACGGAGGAAATATATGTTAGTGGTTTAAGACTTTGGTCGATGTTGATTAGATGTGAAACTAGCAGACAGACTAATAACAATACACATTGTAGCTCCGCTAGCTCCACGGATTTTATATTTGTTGCATTGCACGGTCATGGATGTTGACATGCTAAGTCGCTAACTACTGGAGTACATATATTTAGCTTGGAACTTTGGGGCATGATCGTGATAAAATGTGAAATGTGTTGGCGATATGTTGATCAATGACATGTAAACAATAGCGGCACAGTGTACAAGTACACATGAACCCGCAAAGACATCTTGGACTCAACTCTGTCACTGTCTGTTAAGTTTTTAGTTACAATCTTAGGTCATTGATTCGCATGTATTTATATGTAGTAAACCTTAATGGGCAAACTGTTATGATTTAGAGACCTGTACGCTACTGTCAGTCTGCTAGGAGCATCTACAGACGGTCCCTTCAAATCCTCCTCAAGCATTTGCGGATAAAAAATAAGCTGCATGTGTTTTTCAAACGACACACATCTAATGTAGTTTAGCTAGCTTTAGTACATTCCTGGACATCCTCAAGATTTCCCTAGAAAGTTGACAGTCCTCCATATGCCATAGCATTGTCGTATTACTGAACTTTGCAGTTTGCACTTGTTATGCTGTGTTCTGTTCACCACCTGACCTGAGCATCATGTACCGATACAACACAGGGGCGCACACCATTGGCATCTCGCACTGCAACTTCTTCAGTGAGCGGCTATACAACTTCACCGGCCGCGGTGGGCCAGGCGACGCAGACCCATCTCTGGACGCCGAGTATGCGGCCAGCCTCCGCCGAACCAATTGCACCACACCCACTGACAACACCACCATCGTCGAGATGGACCCCGGGAGCTTCATCACCTTTGACCTCAGCTACTACCACGGCCTGCTCAAGCGCCAGGGACTCTTCCAGTCCGACGCCGCGCTCATCACTGACCCCGCGGCAAGGGCAGACGTCGAGAGCGTGGCCAAGGGCCCGCCGGAGGTGTTCTTCCAGGTGTTCGCACGGTCCATGATGAGGATGGGCATGATAGAAGTCAAGACCGGTGGCGATGGGGAGATCAGGCGGCACTGTGCAGTAGTCAACAACTAGTGGCATGTGTCCTTGCTGACACATGGACGATTGTGTTTGTATGTTAAGTTACACTTTTCTTTTCCATTTTTGTTTATGGTCTTTAGTTATTTACCCTCTTATTTTAAAGCGGTTTTTTAGTTCTGGTCCCAGTGATATATGTCTTCTTTCTTTTTTGATGAAAGTAAAAAATAAACTAGGAACACGTGCGAATAAAGCAGGAAGGAGTATGTGGCAATGATAGAGAGACTAATAATGTTGAAAAATTACTGGATTTTCAACACCTGGACAACCTCATACAGGAGGAGCCACCAACAGCAAACTAAAAACGAAGTAGCCGATTACACAGTTCACTTGTACCCACCACGGCTGTGGGCACTTATTTTTCACAGGCTAAAGTATCAGGAACTTATACATAATATTTCTTCTCCTCCAACATTTAACTTCCTGGGCTACCTTTCAATCTCCATCAGCGACTCCAGCCAACGCCATCTGTTACTCGATCATAGGTCCCCATCCTTTGCTTACTATGAAAAAACTCAGTAGCCACTAGCAGAACAAGCCTAACCAGCTTCTTCTCGTGGATACAAGCAAAATGAACCTGTGCTGTCATAATTATAGCTAATTAAAGGGTATCAACTTGTAACAGGGCGTCTTCATTTCTATGTCCCAATACCTCCCATCTCTACCGATGACATGAACGGTTGGGCTAAGAGCTAGCAAAAGCAAAAACATAAAGTGCATGGTGGACACATAAGGGGAGGCAACGAGGCTAGGCGAACCACTTATATTAAAAAAGGCGAGACAAAAAAAAACAAAGTAAACCTGAAAAAGGGTACCTGCAATTTTAAGAGACAGACGCTTTACACCTTGAGTTATTAGAGGCGAGGATAGTGATAAATCGCAGGTGGACATGCAGCCATGCGAGGTCGGTATCTATCACCACTCGTTGCCACGTGATTCGTGCTGCTCCAATACATCAATACGGTATAACGTTTTCTGGTCAGCGTATAGGTCTTGTATTGCCTCTGTCTTCCCCAGTAAATGGCCAACAAGGCAAACTCCCACATTGAAATGATAGGCGCATTGATCACACCGCAGTGCTAGCTGCACCACGCGGGAACGAGACACGCGTTGATTACACCTCGGCCACAAAGGCTTTGATGCTCCTCTCAGTCTTTTTAACAACCTGCTTGCTTGCTTGTGCTGCCATTCTCTTTTGTTCTCCTCCTCCATTCCTTTCAGTGTTGCCGGAGCTTCAAAGCATGTGCTCGTCCATGTCCCAGAGTTGTTCAATACCACCTCCTCACCACATGGCCAACCAGATGCCTCCATCTTCTCCACGCCGTGCTAATCTTTCTTCTTGTCGCAGCATGGAGGCTGCAGTTTCTGGAAGTGGGAGAACATATGATTTCGCACGCATCGGTCCATCGCCACATATCACTTATCAAATAGAACCAGGCATTGTTGAAGAACATTTTCATGCTGGGCCTCGTGAACCTGCTGGCCTCTGCGTAGGGACTGACGTAGTCTTTCATATGATTTTCGTGTTCTATGCAATGCATGTATCCGCTAGTGCACTATGCTTGCTCACGCAGGCTGCGAGCTGACCTATCAATAAAATTTTAAGGACCCGTTGTGTGCATGCAGCAGCGTTTTGGCAAGTTGTAATCGACCCATACGTAATTAGTGGACCCCTAATCACAAAACAAATGTCAATACACCAGACAACAGAGATGTCATAAATCCCTGCTGCCCACGCATGCGCCCGACCCACCCAACGGAAATGTCAATTCACATCGACCGACATTCGTTTAAATGCACACCATCAATGCAACCAGCCCTCCTTTTCCTGAAACGGATGACATGGCAACATTTATAAGATCAAGCCAACTTTATCATCAAGTGCTACATATCTGTTCTCTGCCATCTCAACGTTCTTCTTGTCTGAATCCATAATATCTATTCTTTGACGAACCTCAACAGAATCTAACAAATCTGCAAATCTACCACTTGGGTCATCTTCAGTCACCTCTCGCAGTGTGCCGAGCCACCCCGAATGGCTTCCAAAAACCACTGAATCAGGGTGGAATGGCAACTCAAACGTCTCACTAGATCGAGGCAAACGAGATATCATCACAGGTGGGCGCGTACGCTCCTAGGCAAAGAAAACAACGCATCAGATAGTGTTTTTGATGGTCTAACCTGATCTCCGTCGGTGAAGAATCCATCTCCACTGCTCCCTCTGTTCCTCCACAGGCAACGGCTTGGGGGAGATCTAAAGTGCGAGCAACTAGGTAGTGTGCGTGCTCAATGATGTCCACCCAACAGCGAGAGCAGTTATGCCATCGCCGGGGCCGTCACGTGGGTCATGTTTTCATAGGAACATAAATGCTGTCTGGGCCACTGGCTTGGTGTATACAACGACGTATTCGTGAAGCTGGTAATTAGCGTGCCATGTATTTGCGAATGGGCTATAATAAGTAGCAATCACGACGCGCAGAAGGACGGCCAAGATAACGGCATCGCGTGGCACCATGCGCCAAAAATTCACGTCCCCAGGATAGAGGGTAAATAACAAAAAACTGCCATATTTTAGGCTAAGTTTACAAAAAAAAACTACCATTTTCTTTAATTTCTCAAAAAACTACCGCAAAATTAGTTGGTTGTTTCAAAAAACTAGCTGGTAAAGCGTTAACTTTTAACCATGATTATAACAACACTGGTTCACCCGCCAGGTCTGACGTAACATAAAACTCAACACCGTTAGTTTTGACCGTTATGACAGGTGGAGCCGACATGTCGGTCCCTTCAAAAAGGTATAACAACAATCAACTCCCTCGAACTTTTTTTATAAAAAGCAACCGGGTCATGTAACTTGTTTATAAAAAGTAACCGGGACCCTATATTTTTTTATAAAAAGCAATCAGGTCCCTGTGGCCATGGCAGCGCCGACGATGGTGGTGCCGGCCGTGCTGCTCCTTGCCGCATTGCTGCTTGTCGTGTTGCCGTTTGCTGCGATACTGCTTGCCATCGTGCTGCCTTGCTGCGCTGCTGTTTGTCGTTCGTGCTGCTGCTTGCCGCGCTACCTTATCGCGCCGCTACTTGCTGCCGCCCGCTGTTGCTGCTGCTTGATGGGGAGCATGGTTGAGAGTAGGAGTGGGTGGCTAGGCGCCAGTGCTGGAGAAGATAAAGACACAGAAGAGAATGGAGACATAGGAGAAGAAGCTGACATGTGGGCCCCACTCGGTCATAACAGTCAACTTAACTTTTTATATAATGATGTTGACTTTTTTGCCACATGAAGCTGAACAGCGGTCCCTCCATTCAGTCACTAGTGTTTTTTGGAACAATCAACCAAAATAGTTGTAGGTTTTTGAGAAATTAAAGAAAGTGGTACTTTTTTTAACCATAATTCCAAATGTGGTAGTTTTTTTTCTATTTACTCCAAGGATAGAGGAGGACATAGATGACATTACTCCCTCTAGTACTTTTTACTTCGTGTATAAGATTTGGTGTCAAGTCAAACTTTGTAAAGTTTGACTAAATTTACATTAAAAATTAACAATCTACAATACCCAATATATATACCATGAAACTACATTTCATAATGAATCTAGCAATGTTGATTTGTCATTGTGAATGTTGATACTTATTCCTATAAGTTTGTTCAAAGTAGAGATACTTTAACTTTGGACAAAACTTATTTGCAGACTTAAAAGAGCCGGAGGGACTACAATCAATGTTAGGAAGGAATATGTGTCGAATAAAGTGGGTGGTGAAGTATTGTTGTTGACATTTCGTATATACATCAACAACGGAACATGGATATTAGATTTATTCTTGCTTTGATAGAGAACACTTCATACAAATTTAAACATATGCATTCTAGGTCAGTCAAGTGGATGTTCTTTTCTTGGCGGTGTGTATGAGTATGACCCTCCAGATACCCAGATGTTTACTATCTGTAGTATGCCCTTGAAGTAAATGCAGAAGTCGTACAACTTATCTCTCTTAAATTAGGAGGTTCTGGAATCAAGATATAGACTTAGTACCCCATTTTTCAGATTAGGTTAGAAGAACCTTAAAAGTAAGAAAATAAGTTGACTACTACTTCTGGTCTAGTAACAAGAAAACTACCGCTAGGCATCAGACTAGTGATCCCTTGCTTCCCATCAGACCAACGGATGACTATTGGATTCACGTCACACTATTCGTCTGATCCGATATGATGTTAGGCGTTCAGTTTTTTCCTTCCTAATTTGGCACTCCCCACTCAATTCTTTCTTAATTTTGTGCTGCTGGTAACGAACTGCTTCGTAGAAATTATGTTGTTTGAGTGTGGTGGCTAGACAGAGGCATCTAAGGAGTAGGTTCAGTGAGATCGGGTGACAATGATGATATCAGACCGACGGTTCTGGAGTTTGGTGGCTATACAGGGCCATGGGAAGACTTTTCATGCCTAATATCCTCATGCACGGCCACAACCGAGGTAGGAAGCAATCGTAAGGAAGCATGTTAGCCTATATTTTTATTCATCACATGATATGTATTTTTCTTAAAGCATCTGATTTGAGTCTTTGCTTTTTAGTTTGCCACAATCATCCTTGCTGTACACATCTTTTGAGAGTGACACACATGAATCACGATTTATTAGAATACTCTGTGTGATTCACTTATATCTTTTGAGCTAGGCAATTTTGCTCTAGTGCTTCACTTATATCTTTTTAGAGAACGGCGGTGGCTTTATTTTGTAGAAATTGTTGAACTCTCATACTTCACTTATATTATTTTGAGAGTCTCTTAACAACATGGTAATTTATTTTGGTTATAAATTTAGTGCTAATATGATAGACATCCAAAAGGGATATAATAAAAACTTTCATATAAAGTGCATTGAATATTATGAGAAGTTTGATTCCTTATGATTGTTTTGAGATATAAAGATGGTGATATTAGAGTCATGCTAGTAAGTAATTGTGGATTGTAGAAATACTTGTGTTAAAGTTTGTGATTCCCGT